GGTTTTCTTGCCACTGCAGTTGTCTTTCTTCTTGTTTATTTTGCTGTTCAAGCTGCTACTGTTGCAGGTTTTCTTGCCACTGCAGTTGTCTTTCTTCTTGTTTATTTTGTCTGTTCTTGTATTGCTGCCATCAAATCCTCTAAGCTGTAGTTTGATTTGCCACTTCTAGTTTCCATCTTCTTTTTTTTCCTTTTTCGGTCCCACTCTCTGACACCAATTTGTTGCACATATGTTTGTTTTTTAATTTCTGGTAGCAATTATTTCCGAGGAACTTCAGTGATACCAGTTCTTTCTAGACTAAACCAATTTATTCTTTCTGTATACAACTTTTAGTAATACACAAAATTTCCACAGTCAATTTGAACTTAACCACATTTATTACACACGCTATAAATCACAGTGATTCACACACTTTACTTATGGTACTTACTGTTCGCTTGACTCAATTATCTATCTCTTCATTGCCGCTGGTTTATCTCGCCAGGCTTATATACTAAAAAAGAGGGCGTCTAGGAAACACTCGGACATTCGCGGCGTTCCTCGATAATTCGAGAAACTCCAGCGCGTATGCTCCCAGCGTAACGCGACTTCCGCTGTCGAAACAGTAAGAAACTTCTACATATACTGTACTCACCATTTATCACAAGAACAGTGATATTTGCGGGGTCAGCATAAGATGGCGTGCAGCTATAATCACCAGAGTCGGTAGTCTTGATGTTCTCTATCTTTAGTTTGCTAACGGTGGTTGGTCCAGTCTCGGTTTTAACTTGTACACCCCTCACAGAGTCATAATTGATCACCCTACCGTTATGATACCAGAACACATATACTGGAGGGGCGCTGCTGTCGCTTATGATACATGTCAGGTTAATAGTGCTTCCACTATGCACGTAAATACTGGGGCCTTCTGGGATAGTGGCTCTTGCAACTGTGGAAAAACATAACTAATATTAGTTAGTTTTTAAATACGTACATATATTTCCACAATCTCATCTGATAACATTTTATATATTTTCATCATAAAGATCTTTTCGCGATAAATACAAATCTGCAAAAAACTCTTAGCAAGAAAAATCACAAACTTTCTGAATCAAAACGTATAAGCATAACAGTTTGTAAAGTAAATTTTCTTTTGAATTTCTCGCAAAGCAATTGATTTTGAAAGCTATCTTTACTAGTCGTCCCTAATTTAGCAGTGATAGACTACAGGAAAGGCAGCTAGTCAACAGCACCCACCGCCAGCTCTTGAGCAACCCTTTTACCAACGAATAGTGGAATCGATCGTTACGCTATAACGTACCCACAACTGTTTGGTGACGGAGATTCGAACCCGCGACCCGCAGATTACCAGTTGAGCGCCCTAACCACCAGACCATGCGTAAGGTAAGAATAGCTATGAATAGCAACACTAGTTTTACTTCAATAGCGAGCTATTTGTATGACATAAGCCCCTATTACATCAACATCTGTGTTAAAGTTCTTTAGTACATTTCCACATAATATCATTGAATAACAGGTGTTCAACAGTTTTGCACTCTACTTTTCCTAAAGTACCTTGATTATTCGTATCTATTATTTACTTCAATAATTTAGAGCATTTTTTGTTTTAACTTAAAAGCTTCTTCTATGAAAAAAATAAAGAAAGGCTTCCTCGATGTCACCACACAACTTTAGAATTAATATTTAAATAAAGAAAGGCTTCCTCGAAGTCACCACACAGCTTTAAAATTAATAATTTTGAGCTGTGCTTCAAAATGTTTGTTATTGTGACGTAATATCACAACCTTATTTTAATTTTAAACGCAAGTGCTTTCTCCTCTTTATCGTTTAGGAGAAACCTGCACAATGGTCTATATGAGCTGTGTTCACCGCAGGGATCAAACTTGAATTTTAGTGTTATAAGTCCTTAAGCTTACCGCTGAGCAATCAGGGGACTGTACAGTAAATAAAGATTGAATTATTCCTGTAGTTTGTTTTACCATTTATCTAAAAATGTTTCACACGTATTTGGAGGACTTTTAATTGCTGAGTTCGTATCGACAAATTTCAAACTTTGTTGATATCTATAGAGAATCTCGAAATTACACGAACCCTTTCCGGACTGGAGGTGTATCATTGATACCTCTGAATTTTTCCTTTTATACTTATACTTGAGGTACTTAACCAAATTGCATGAACGTGATAACCAATGCGGTTTTTTCATTAAGTGTCTTTAAATCTAATAGAAAGCTGCCTGTATTCAAGTTTTTTTGCTTACACCCTGGATACTGACGAGCCTTCTTGCCGAATTAGTGACATAGTCAGACGCACATACAAAAGGGATCCGATTCAAACGTTCATGAGGTTTGTTTTTAGCCCAAAACTACACAGTGAGCTATCTGCGCATTGTCCACCGCAGGAATCGAACTCCGGATTTTAGCATTGCAAGTTCATAAACTTACCGCTGACCAACGGGAGGTGGCGTTCATTAGGTAGGATAACAGTTTGAGTTGCAAAGCTGTTCATGCAAATGCTTAGAGCTTTAACAATTTCCTGTGTTCGCAATATATTTAATCAAGTAAGTTAGATAAGGAATACAGATAGTTTAATTACTTTTGATTAAGACAAAAATCCCGGGATCCGTGACAATGAAATCCGAAATCCCACAATTCAGAAAACGCTTCGAGATTGCAACTCCTACTATATGTTCGTCGAAATATTTCCAATGAACTTCCTATATAACATAGTCAGTAGATTCTATATGTAGGGATGGCTGAGGTACTAAATAGGCATAATTCAAATATGCACGCTAAAAGAACAATAATTACAGAGAATTTTACTTTAAAAACTTATTGTCACTCACTGTTATTTCTTTCCCCACCCAACAAGCCCAAAAACAAGGCAAGAAACCATCGCTGTGGCACCAAACCAGAAAATGATCAACCCAACAA